ACACACACACACACACACACATATATATCGGAGATCGTGCAGCTCACACATCCAGGAATAAAGAAACTTGTCAACGCTGCCCCACGACTTTTATTAATAACAGTGTAAATACTGAATCGCTACATTATATTTTCCAGCAACGAGAGGATAAAATCGCTGTTTTTTTAATTGGCAAAAATTAAAAGAAAAGGGTTTAGCGATTTCTAATTATTGGGGGGACTATATGTTGTGGCACTCTTGTGCAGTCTATAATGATATGACGTTAGTTAGCAAATATTAGCGATTTTTTGCAAACATTTCTTTGAGTAACATGACCGTAAATATGAACTCACGATTGAATGTAACATAAAACAAATGATTACTTTTCGTTAAAATCTTTATTAATGCCAAAAATGCTTACATTTATGTGTCTTTTTGTTCGCTCGGCATGTTGCCCCTGAAGCAGGTTTACGCTGAGATAATTCATACCCCTTCGTTTGAAGTGTGGGCCCGAAAAATCTTGGTTTGAAGGGCTGTCTGGCCCTTCCCCTACCCCTACCCCTCCAACCAAAAGAGAATTGAGACAAAGGGGAAGGGCTAAGGGGTAGAATTGGGATTGGGCCCAAGTGTTAGCCTCTTCTGGTCGACTAACGGTTAGTCGACTATTAGGGGGAGCCCTACAGATTAACAAGCTTTTTTTTAATGGTTTCGGTTTTAGTTTCTAATTAGGTTTTTAAGTAGATGTAATTATCCATCTTTCCATACCATATTTTTATTCATATTTTAATATATTGAATTAATTATTTATGCGTATTTATTTATTAGTCTCAATTTGCCTACTGTCTGGGATGTTTTTTGTCTTGTGATGCACTGTTTTTACCTTATGCAGAAAAAGATGCTGTACACATGACGCTCCTTAGAATTTGGCAACATCAAGTGATCTTGAATCTGGCTCACAATGCTGCATACACAAGCAGCTCATGATGGCCATCACATCAGTGGTCATCTCTGAAAGTTGTTGAGTTATGAAGGTCATTGTGTTTGTGTCCTGCAGGCCTGCCTGGTCCACACCACAGAGACCATCCGTGTGCGCTACTTCATGGACAGTCTGTTGGAGAGGAGGCGTCCGGTCATGCTGGTGGGCAACGCCGGCACCGGAAAATCTGTTCTGGTGGGAGACAAACTGGGTTCTTTAGACCCGGAGAAATACGCCATCAAAAACGTACCCTTCAACTATTACACCACGTCAGCCATGTTACAGGGTGTGTGTGTGGTTTTTTTTCTTCAGAAAAATTATGTCTCTGCTTTCTTTCATTAGACCCTGAACGCAGAAGTGCAACTTCAAGCCCTTTTGACAGTGACAGATTCTTGTGATCTAAAGCAAACACCCATGCCACATTCCTCCCAGCATCAGCTGTTTTTGTCCCGTTGTCCTCCGCTGTCTTTGCAATCTGTTGGTTTGATATTTATCACTCTGCAGCATGTTTAGCCATGTGTCCGTTCACTCACTCACACGCATTACAATCATAATCACATACTATAGCCTTAGTTTATTAATACATATGCTTTAGTATAATTAAAGACTAGGGTGCAAAATAAGGCCTGGAATTGTAAAAAAATAAAATAAAATTTACTTTATTTTCATTATTATTTTTATTATGTAAAAATATGATATAATTTATATTATATAGTAATTATTTTTATAGCTATTTCATTTTTTTTATTTTATATGAACTTTGCGATCTTTATTGAACTTAGTTTTG